TTCGCCCCCTGCCCGGGTGGGTCCCCGAGCTCCCCGCGGCCGGAGAGGGGCTGCCCGGGGCGAGTGTCCAGGGCGGGACGGAGCGGAGCAGCCTCTGCTGCGGGGCCGGGGCGACGGAGCCCGGGAGCGGCTGGGCTGGGAGCTGCAGGAGGGGCCTGGAGCGCGGCTCGGCTGCAGAGCTCGGAGCCCAGGAGCGAGGGGATGGGGGATCTGGGGGGTGGATCTGGGGTGTCAGAGCCGGGCTGTGGGGTGGAAGAAGCGGCTGGTACTGGGGACTGGGGCTGCTGGGAGTTTGGGGTGTGCTGGGGTGTCAGGGCTGGGGATTGGGGATTTTGGGGGGCTCCAAGTCCAGATCTGGCCCTGCGGGAGCTTTGGGGGTTGGAGCTGGGGAAAGTGGGGGACTGTCTGAAGTTGGCTGCTTGGGGTGTTGGTGAGGCCCCGGTCATGTGGGGAGCTGGGGATTGGGCTGCACCCCGTCACTGCAGCCTGGGGTCCTGCCTTTTCTCTGGGAAAGCTGCTCCCTGTTTCACCATCTCCTCTCAGTCTGAGTCCCAGCGACTCTGCACTGGAGTCTGCAGGGCAGGATGGGCCATGAAATCTGACAGCTGGGAGGCCCTTTACAGCAGTTTCTAACCCTCCCTCCCCTGCTTCTTCCAGGAGGTACCAAAAACGCATCTGGCCCCTCTGGGAAAAGAGAGAGAAGCAGCCAAAGCCGAGGAGGAGCGGCACAGCGAGGAGCTGCTGGTAGGTGCCCAGAGCTCCCCGCCACTTAGGTTTGCCTGGCATAAGAATGACCTGGTGAATGCAGGGCCCATCCTGCCAGCCTCAGCCAGAGAACCATCCCCACTGGAGCCCAGGGAGAGGGCAGGGTCACGGGCCTAACATGATGCCCTTAGGATCCAGGAGGCTGCTGGGCAGGAGAAGGTCAGTCTGTGTTAGCCCAGAGACCTGCCCATGGGCTGTCTGGATGTCACAATGACCAGGGATCCTTTCTAGCTCCTAGGGAGGATGGTGGGGAAGGAGATGAAATGTGGGCTGCAGAGATGGAGGATTTGGCTCAGTGCAAGTTGATGAGGTTTTGGGGAAAAGAGTCCCTACTGTTGGTGATGTACAGCTCACCCCAGCCCTGAGCCCTCCTCCCTTCCCAGGATAAATGAACTTCCCATTACTCACCACAAGAGATCTTGTGTTCTGGTAAATAACTCTGCCACCTGCCCCGAGACGCATTTATGATTTTCCCCAGTTACCGAGCAGATGAATTTCAATGTTGATAAATGCAAAGTAATGCACATTGGAAAAGGTCATATCAAATACACATAATATGATGGGGTCTAAATTAGCTGTTACCACTTGGAGTCACTGTGGATAGTTCTCTGGAAACATCCACTCAATGTGCAGCAGCTGTCAAAAAAGTCAACAGAATGTTGGGAATCATTAGGAAAGGGATAGATAATAAGAGAGAAAATATCATAATGCCTCTGTTTAAATCCATGGTACGTCCACATCTTGAATACTGTATGCAGATCTGGTCACCCCATCTCAAAAAAGATACTTTGGAATTGGAAAAGGTTCAGAAAATAGCAACAAAATGATGAAGGGTACGGAATAGCTTCTGTATGAGGAGAGATTAATAAGACTGAGGCTATGGCTACACTACATAGCTTTTAGCAACACGGCTGTGCCGCTACAGCCGTGCTGCTAAAAGGCGCGCAGTGTAGCTGCTGTTTGTTGGCAGGAGAGAGGTCTTCTGCCGACAAAAATCTTCCACCCCCCACAAGCGGCAGCAGCTTTGTTGGTACGAGAGCGCTCCTGCCGACAAAGCGCTGTTCACCCTGGCGCTTTTCATCGGTAAAAATGTGTTATTCGGGGGGGGGGGGTGTTAACACTCCTGAATAACAAGTTTTGCTGACGAAGTGCCAGTGTAGACAAAGCCTGAGACTGTTCACCTTGGAAAAGAGACGACTAAGGGGGGGATATGATGGAGGTCTATGAAATCATGACTGCTGTGGCAAAAGTAAATAAGGAAGTGTTATTTACT